GCAGGCCTGGCAGAGGGAGGGGCCGTCAGGGCAGGGGGGACCAGGGGCCCCGGACGACCCTTCACCGGCTCGCCCTTCACCCTTCACCGGCTAGCCCTTCACTAGCCGGGTCTGGCTGTGAGCTGACTGGGCAGCGGGAGGGGGCGGGTGGAGGACGAGAGAGAGCGCCCCACACTCCCCCGCTGTTTCCAACCTGCACCTCAAACTGCACAGGGACGTTCTGAGTTGGACGCTGTGGGGCTCGGGGCTGTGCTGTGCTGAGGAACCCTCTAACTTCTGAGACGGTGCCGGTTTTTTAAAATGTTTTTATTAATTTTAGCGAGGGGAAGGGAGACTAAGGAACATCGATGTGACCCACAGAAACACTGATGGGCTGCCTCCTGCGTGCTCCCCACCCGGGACTGAACCCCAAACTCGGGCATGTGCCCTGACCAGGAAGCAACCTCATGCATGGGCCACACCAGCCAAGGCTCAAAATGTGGTTTTTGTTCTGGATTCTTGTGAGAGAAGGGAGAGAAACACTGATCTGCGGTTCCACTGATCGATGCATTCACCGGTTGATCCTTGTCTGTGCCCTGGCTGGGGATCAAACCCGCAACCTTGGCACACGATGCTCTAACCACCTGAGCTACCTGGGCAGGGCCAAACCGTGGTTTTAAGAATCACACAGAGTCCTTCCTATACATACGTTTCCCAAGAAAATGTCTAGAAAACACGAAAATGTTGGGGACGGGCTGGGACCAGGAACTGTTGTGTCGTATGAAACACGCCCAGGCCTGACTCACATGAGGACTCAGCCCAACAACGCTTCTCTAACGACACAAGCAGCGCTGGTATCTCAGCGGTTGGAGCGTCATCCCCTCCATCCCGATACCCCAGGCTGAGGGTCCGATCTCTGCTCAGGCCTCAAACAGGAACCAACCACTGAACGAACAGCTGGAACCGCCGGCCAGCACGGCTCCGTGGCTGAGCATCAATCAGTGAACCAGGAGGCATCGGATCAATGATTCTCTCTCATCATCGACGTTTCTCTCTCTCCCCCCCTTCCTCTCTGAAATCAATAAAAATGTGTTTTTAAAAAATCGGCACAATTGATGTTTCTCTCAAGTCAATAAAAGTTTCAAAACATAATAAAAACACAAGCAGTAACGGGGAAGGACAGAGGATGAGGAGGCTGGTGTCTTCGTGGAGGGAACCGCCTGCACGAGGCAGGTGACCCTGCGGACACAGCCGTCCCTTCGAGGGTCTGGTTCAAGGGCCCCGGCCCAGGGCAGAGGAAACCCGGGGCCACAATGACACCTGCTTCCCTGTGAGGGCACCAGGGAAAAGGGAGAACAGGCTTAACATTTTTCATGGGCTGTACACACACGACAGAGACCACAGGCGACCCAGAGGCTGAAACACTGACTATGCTGTCCTTCGAGTTTGCAGACCTGCAGCATAGCCCATCAAGGAAAACGATCCCCAAGACATTCAGAGCGGAAAACGGGCAGAGGACCTGGGCCCCCAACACACGCAGAGGCAACAAAAATGCTTCTTTTAAACGAGAAGGGGAGTTCTGCCCGGTTTGGCTCAGTGGATAGAGCGTCGGCCTGCAGACTGAAGGGTCCCAGGTTCGATTCCAGCCAAGGGCACAGGCCTGGGTTGCGGGCTTGATCCCCAGTGGGGGGTGTGCAGGAGGCAGCCAATCAATGATTCCCTCCCACCATTGATGTTTCTATCTCTCCTCCCTTCATCTCTGAAATCAATAAATATATTTAAAAAAAAAACGCGAAGGGGCCACAATAAATACAATCCCACCTGGACTTCATTCGTCTCCGTACACACGCAGCCACAAAGCAGTTTTGGTTTTGTTTTGTGAAGGGCCCACAGGAGCGATACCGAGGCCAAGTGGACAATGTATGGGGGGAGGCACCGCGGGAGGCCTCCCAGCGCAGCTGCAGCAAACAGACCGTCAGGCGTGAGGACAGTCAAACGGAAGAATCAAAGGAGCGGGAATCGCTCTGGCCCGTCGGCTCAGGGTCTCGGGTCCGATTCCAGGTTAAAGGCACCAGGCTCCCCGGCCCCGGTTGGGGCACGTGTCGGAGGCAGCCAATCGATGTCTCTCTCACTTAGATATTTCTCTCTCTCTCTCTCTCCCCCTTCCGCTCTCTCTAGAAATCAACGGAGGAAATATCCTGGGTGAGGATTTTTTTAAAAAAAATAAAGAGTGCAGGAATTCAAGGGTGCCACCACCATTCGACAGGGGAAATACCCTTTAACAAACGTTGCTTGGAAACATGCATATAGTGTACAAAAGAGATTTAAAATTACAAACAGCCCATGGCCCAAGTTTGTTAAATAAAATGTGCAGAACTGACTAACAAAATGAGGTGCTGGGACAAATGGATCCCCACATACAAAACAATGATGTTGGACGCTTGCACTTTAAAATGGTTGCCATGGTGACTTCTGGGTTATGTGTATTTTACTAAAAAACTGCAGCGCCCTGGCCCCAGGCTCAGCCGGCTGGACTGTCAGCTGGCACCAGAAGGCTGTGGCTCAGTCCCTGGTGGCGGCATGTGCAGCAGGCAACCCATGGGTGTTCCCTTCTCCCTCCAAAATCAGTAAGCAGCCCGGCCGGCGGGCCGCAGGAGGTCAGGGTTCGACTCCAGGTCAGGGCACAAGCCCGGGTTGCAGGCTCCATCCCCTGTAGGGGGCGAGCAGAAGGCAGCTGATTGAGGATGATTCTCTCTCTTCCCCTCTGAAAACAATAAAAATATATTTTTTAACTTTAATTTTTTAAAATATATCTTATTGATTTTTACAGAGAGGAATAGAGAGTTAGAAACATCGATGAGAGAGAAACATCGATCAGCTGCCTCCTGCACACCCCGACTGGGGATGTGCCTGCAACCAAGGTACATGCCCTTGACCGGAATCGAACCTGGGACCCTTCAGTCCGCAGGCCGGCGCTCTATCCACTGGGCCAAACCGGTCAGGGCAATAAAAACATATTTTTAAAAAATAACAATGAAATAGACAAGCATTTCCTCCGGTGAGTATTAAAAACAAACAAACAGGAAACTGTAGCAGGACCTGTACAGGTGGTGGGGGTGGTCCAGGCATCTCCTGTCCACCTGTCACTTCAGCTCAGGGCCAGCAAGGCAGCTCCACGTTCCGAGTGACCCCCCCACCCGGGAGGCCCCCCGCGCGCCCCCCACCCGAGCCCCGCTCACCTGCAGGGAAATGTCATTGATCTGCACGTCGTCGGTGCTCCACTTGCCGAAGAGCTTGATGTCGGGCGTCTCCGCCACCGCGGGGGCTGCCGGCTCCCACTCGCTCATCCTGGGGGCACAACCGCAGGGCCCCGCTCACCGCCTGGCACCCCGGAAGCCCCGAGGAGCCCGGGCAGCTGACTGCACGTCCTGAGCCCCGAGGGACCCCTCCAGGGCCAACCAGGAGGAGGCGCCTGCCCCCCAGGAACCCCGGATCCACCCTGCTGGGCCGTTCGAACCCCCAACCCCGGGGTTCAGGGGCTCCGCGCCCCCGGGAGAGTCCACAGCGTGGACCCCGCTCCCCCATCAGCAGCACCGACACGTGATCTGCCATCGAGGATC